CATAAACTCTTCAATCCAAAATTGGTTTATTTCAGTGGGTGGCTGGAATTTCTGATCCAATGCTTACTTTGAAATTACAGGCTTACTGTTTTATCGCAACTAAATTGTATTAGGTATTTGGATTGGTAGCAGACACTTGATGCAGAGAAGTTATGAAGAAGAAGAAATGATTGACTGAATTTTGAAGGGATTTCCAAATGAACAGATTTTATAAGAAACGGTAGAAAAATGATTTTCCATTTCTCTAGTTGCACTAGTGAAGGTGATACAGATTCTCCCTGTTCTATAGAAACTATATACCCTCTGCACTCAAACAATATAACCCCAACCCAATCACCAGAAATTCCACATCCACCTCCATCTACCATCCCCCTGCAAATTCCCCAAAATTATCCAAAATCAACCAAAATCACCACCTCTGCCACCTTCAACCACTGCCCCTACCCAACCTAAATCAATACCACCACCGCCACCTCTTTGCATTGCCACCATCATCAACCACCACCAAAATCAACCAAAATCAATACAACCAAAAAATGCCCAAACAAAAAATACTACAGAAAAAATAGAGAGGAGGCAGAGACTAACGTCGCCGGCGTCGAAGAGAGAGGCGGCAGAGATGGACGTTCACAGCAGCGTCGCCTCCCATGGGTCGCGACGAATAGCTCGCGACGCTGTGTTCACAGCAGCGTCGCCTCCCAGTCCCCACTCCAGCGCCGGCACCGGCCCCGCCCAACAGCAGCGTCCGGTTGCAGAGAAGAAAAGAGATCGCCAGCTATTCTCTTGGCAGAAGAGAGAAGATGGAAGAAGAGAAAGGATTTGGGTTGTGGGAAGAAATAGGAATTTTTGGAACAGTGAACTTTGTTTCGCGTGTTTTGAAGAATTTTCGAGTTTTGTACAGAAAACATCCAAAACGTAAATAACATCATTTTGTGTTTTCCATGCAATTTTTTTTTGTGTTTTCAAAAACTCGTTTTCGAAAATAGGAACGAGAACGCGGTTTGGACGTTTTGGAAAATCGAAAACAGAAAACGACAAAGAGAACAGGCCCTACGCAGTTGTTAATTTCAAGTTGCCTCATGTTGGCTATACAATGATGACATGGAGCCATAATGGGCATATAGTGGTGGCTAAGAGTCAAATCCCTTTTTTGCCTTGGATAGTGTGAACCTATTGATGCCTAGGATGTAGGGGCGGAACCAACCCGTCGAAGTAGGGGGAAATATTGTTTTTGACACATTATCTGTTAAAATGAGAAAAGTTGATACTTTGCAATGGAGAAAAGAAATAAAAGAACATAAATTAATGTGTGAAGACTTAACAATACAACTATGCAAACAAGTAAGGAGGAACCAGAACGCATAATTAAAAAACCATGCCATCCAAAAAAGTCACCAAAGCCTGCAATAGCCTAGAAGTCATTGCACAGCCAAATCAATTTTCGCCTCTGTAAACTGTAAGGAGGAAAAACACAAAATTTGAAGGTTAATGATGTAGCTGAAGCATAAGGAACGAAGAATATAATTTGATGTCTAACCTTCGAAGTTGAAAGCCTTCTCATGATTTACCCTTTCATGAACTGAGTCAATCAATCAATTCAAAACTAGGAAAGGGAAAACACAATGCATTTCTAAGCTCCGGGAATAGTTGGGCCTAGGATATTGAGGAATATCTAGAAAGGCTCGACTCGAGAATGGGTTTGATTCTTTCTCAGTTTGAAGGAACTAATCTTTCTACCAGTCGTTTCACTAGTATTATATGGTCTGATATTGTATGCAGGAGAGCAGAGGTGGAGGGTCGGAGTTAGGCGGAGGCTATGAAGAGGAGCAGACGTGTGCAATGAATTGAAATGGGGCAGACGGGTGCGAAGTAGAGTTTTCACTTTTTTGATTGGGCTGGGCTTGGGGACGCTGGGTAGTGGGTATAATATATTTGGTCGTAATTTTGGGCTTCCTTCTTGGGCTGGAACTTAAGTATATAACTAAAAAAAAATTTTTTTTTGGAGCCCAAAAAATAAAATTTTAAAATTAAAAAAAAAGTCAAAAAATTTG